GGGGAAGAGGGAGAGAGAGAGAGAGAGAGAGAGAAACATTGATTTAAGACGGAAACATTGATAGATTGCCCTCCATACATGCCCCAACAGGGGATCAAACCCACAACCCCGGTATGTGCCCTGACAGGGAATTAAACCAGCAACTTTTTGGTGTACAGGACGATGCCCAACAAACTGACCCACTCCAGCAGCCAGGCTACCAGTTTTCAATTATCAATGTTTAATGCTAATACCCAATATTGAAAAGAATACAGCGAAACTGACACACTCATATTCTCTTAGTAGCATAAATCCATAAAGTCTTTCTAAAGGACATCTTGGTAATAATGCATTAGAAGCCACCAGAACATGCCTACCCTTTGATCTAAGTAATTCCATTTACTGAAGTTTTTCCTGAGGAAACAACCAAAGATATACACAAATATTTAGTGCAAAGAAGGTCATCATGGATTATTTATAACAGCAAAATCTAAAAATAATATAAATTCCTAACAATAGGAGAAACTAACACATCCATTAAAATGATGTGGTAAAAAAGATTTAATAAACTGGAGAGATGTCTGTAATAATTTAAGTGAAGGTTGTAAAGTAGTATTAATCATATAATCTCATATGTAGAGGTAATAGACACATATGAAAAGGGACGGAAAGTTATGGAGAAAATGTTAATAGAGTATCTGAGCGAAAAGCTTATCAATAATTATTTCTTTTTTGCTTATTTGTTATTTCTAAATTTTCTAAATGAACCTATTACTTTTATAATAAAAAGAAACAATAAAAATCTAAATTATGCTTTCATGCTCAATTAATCAAAAAATATTTCATGATATAATAAGTGAAAACAAGCGGATATAAAACTATATAGATGACCTGGCCCCACTTTTGTGGGAGGGAGGAGATAAGAGATGAAGGAAGAGAGGAAGGGAAGATGGGAGGGAGGGATGGAGGGACAGAGGGGAAAGAAAGCAAGTTTCAGGAATTTAACACGGTGTTTAGTTCTAGAGGGTAAAATTGAGTGGTTTTATTTTGTTCTTTAAGCTTTCCTAAATTTTCAGAGTATTTTTATAATGAACATGTATTGCTTTATAAGGAAAAAAAGGCTATTTCAGTAAATGTAACTGCCACTTTTTGGGGAATTTTTTTACCCAACAAACTGGTAAATCATACCCTAGTTATTAGCAAAAATCCCTAGCCTCAGCAGTAAGGTGGTATTTCCCAGTTTAGGTAGCAGGGGGGAAATGAGTATCTTTATGAGGTTAACTGCTTTGGTTTCAAAGTAAAACTAAAAAGATATTTGGTGATGTCTTCTCTTTTCAGAATCATGATGCCATCCCTGTGTTTTGAGGACTAAAGGACATACAGAGCTGAACAAAAGTTAAATACTGTGTAGCTTTAATGTTGTATGAGTGCCCTCCTTCACATGGGAGCACAAGCGGTCACAGGTTCCCTAAAACCTACTTCTAGAAGCATGGACCACGAGCGAGGCTGTGGCCCTCACTGCACGTGGGCAGTCCTCCCCTTGATAAGAAATTTTACAGCCTGGCAACACCCTGGCTAGCTTCACCCCGGGGAAAGCTGAGGCCCCTGGGAAGATGGTTGCATCCACTTCCACCTCACAGCAGCTTTCACTAGGGGGCAGGCTGGTTCACGGGTCCCCAAAGCCTGACTGGTGTGTGCAGGAGCCAAGGGGGCCGGCGACTTAAGTTTCCAAGCTTCAAGAGGCATGCTGTCCCCACCCAGTTAACAAGCTGTAAAGGCAATATTAGTCTGAATGGAAATGCTTCATTTAAATCACACACAAAAAATTACCTTTTCTTTCAAAGCTTTCCTCTCTGACAAAGCAAACAAGAGCCAGGAACTTTGTCACCTCTTTTAAATAAAGAACTGTGGTATTATTCAGCTTTATAATGGCTGTTGATTCCTTGTCATAAGGGGTTCCTGCTCCATCTTCTTTGAGACTAAATGGAGACAGAAACCAAAATATATTTGACCGTTGAGAAAGAACTACATATTGTAACCTGGCAATAAAGACCAGCTTTAACACAGAATGATGATGACATGTAGTTTCCACTTACAGTGCCTTTCAGCTAAAGATCTCAGAAACACACAATCACAAGAATACACAGTGTATGACAAGTCACTTTCCTACTGACACAATGAGTGGCTGTTGTGGCAGCTGGGCAACTCTCCAGGCACCTGAGGAACACAGGTGAGGGATGGGGGTTAGCTCTTGTCCCCTCCATGGCCCACGAGGGCTTCTCGTTTTCTCATGATGGAATAACATGGCCAAAGGCATGGCTGTCAAAGGCATGGTCTGATGAAAGACCAAGAAGGACTGAAGAACTCTTCCAAACTGAAGAAGCCTAAAGACACATGACAGCCAATGCTGAACTAGATTTTGGAATGGGGAGTGAGGAGTGATATAAAAGATAGAAGTGGGACCACTGGTAAAATTTGAATACGGACTATATATTAGATAATAATGTTGCCATGCTAAATGTGCTTACTTAGATAATTAAACTGGAATCCTGTAAAAGAATATCCTTGTTCTTTTTTTTTTAACATTTTTTAAAATTGATTTTTAGAGAGAGAGGGAGGGAGAGGGAGAGGGAGAGAGAGAGAAACATCGATGTGAGAGTAAAACATCGATTGGCCCCTACCGGGGAGCAAGCCCACAACCTTGGCATATGCCCTGACTGGGAATCAAACCAGCGACCCCTTGGTGCATGGGGCCACACCCAATTTACTGAACCACACGGGCCAGGGCAGAATGTCCTTGTTCCAAAGAGAGATGCTCAAGTAGCAAGGATCAAAGAATCATGATGTCTGCAACTTACTCCCAAATGGTTCAGCACAAACAAACAATATGGAATAGAAGGAGAGAGATAGCAAATATGGCAAATTGATAAAAATTGGTGAATCCCAATGAAAGGTATATAGGAATTTATTGTACTATCCTTGCACATTTTCTGTAGATGTGAAACCTTTTTAAAATAAAAAGTTAAATAGATTGGTTTATATTTTTTCTTTAAAAAAATTTTAATTGAATTTATTGGGGTGACATTGGTTAATAAAATTATATAGATTTCAGGTGTACAGTTCTGTAATTCATCATCTGTACATTGTACTGTGTGTTCAGCACCCCAAGTCAAGTCTCTTTCCATCACCATTTATCCCCCTTATACCCTCTGGTACCTCCCCCGCCCTTCTGGTTTTCACCATGCTGTTGTCTAGTCTATCGTTTTTGTTTTTGTTGCTTAATCCCTTCACCTTTTTCCCCCAGCCCCGCAAACCCCCTCCCCTCTGACAGCTGTCACTCTATTCTCTGTATCTATGAGTCTGTTTCCATTTTGTTTGTTAGTTTATTCTGTTCATCAGATTCCATATTGAGTGAAGTCATATGGTACTTGTCATTCTCTGACCTGCTTATTCCACTTGGCCACAGACACGGATGACGTGGGTTTGAATCCCAGCTTACCTACTTACTATGTGAACTTGGGCCAGTTGAGGAACTTCTTTGAGTCTCAATTTCCTCATCTGTATACTAATAGTAACTACTTCAAAGTTTCCTAATGTGTAATGAAATAATACACATATAGCACTGAGCACAGTGCTGAAACCATGTAAAATGCATAATGAATGTTAGTTTTTTATAAAAGGATGCAGCTGACTATAACCTACCAGAAGAGTAAAGAAAAATTTTAAGAAGTGTTAGATCTGAGATATTAATGATGCTTTAACAGAGTTCTAAATTTCCTTTGTACTATTTTTAGTTACTGTTTTTCCAGATTGAATTTCTCTTGCTTATAAACTGATGTTCTGAGAATAAACGGAAACATTTACAAGTTGTAAAATTTACAATTTTTTTCAATGAAGAAAACGACATTTAAAATTTTCAAGTAAATATATAATGCTATACTATATAAACGCTAAATATTGTTTTTATTACACAAGAAAATTCTTTAAGTAATAATGTTGACTGAAAAAAGTAGGATGTAATATTAAATAAACAAAGTGATCACATTATCCTAAAAATTAAACAGACATGTGAATAAAATATATAAAAATGTTAGTGATTGTTTCTAGGTGATGAGATTATGGGTTTTAAAATTTTATTCTTTATACTTTGACATATTTTCTGCAATGAGCATGGATTACATTCATAATTAGAAGTAAACATTAAACAAATTGGAAAAACAAAAAAAGACCCCCAAAATTACAAATAGAAATTGGTGAGGTTTTATGACCGCAAGGACTATTTTCTACTACTTCTATTTCCATCTACAAGGCCATAAAAACACACGAGGATGGGAGGTATTTTAAAATGTGCATGTGCTAGAGCTGCCCAGCCTTAGCAGAGGCTCAGCTGAGATTCCTGAGCAGACGGACTGAGGCCCCAGGTCATCTGCTTCCAAACCCTGCTGTTCTCCAGGGAGCAGCTGGGAACTGGCAGCGAGCCTGCTTCCTAGGCTGCCCCACACATCGCCAGCCCTCCCCCCGTTAACTGGCTGGCTCCTTGCCAGTGCAGCAAACAGTGTGAGGAAAACCCAAGGGCCACTTGTGACCTAGACTGGTTCTCACTGAACCCGGCAGGTTCTCAGGAGCACTGCACTCTGCCACAGAAAAACAATGCGACGGCAGGGCCCAGCTCTCTCCTCCTCCCAACCCCTTCCTACCCATGTTTGTTTTAGCTGGGTAAAAGTAACTCTGATAAACATCATTTACATGAACAACTTACCACTTACGTCTAATTACCATATGGCACAATAATGCTTATGCATATCGTTAAACATGTGCCAGATTAATTGTGTTCGTTGTATTTGATTACCACAGCAATCTAGACTGTAATCAGGGTACATTCAGCTTCCATGGCTATTTCAAGGTCATTCACTTACAGTTTAAAAAGAACAATACTGTAGGGCAATACTCTTAGAAAATAAAGTCTATTTCTAAAGCCGGGTGGCAGTGGTTAGTAATAATAAATGATAATAGTGACAACAATAGTAACAGCAATAGCAGCTACATTTATCCAGGGTTTACCAGGTGAAACCTAATATTTCTTCCTCACTAGAGTTCTGTGAAGTTTCACTTTCCCTTTTTCATAACAAAAGGGACTGTGTTTGCATGTGTGTGTACAACAGAGTTCACAAAGAGAAGCTGAAGTGAGTTGGCAAAGGATTTTCAGACAGTGGAAGAGAAAAATGGTGAGACTGAGACGGTCACCAAAGAGGAGGCTCTATACAGCAGGTCACAGTGAGTAAAGAAGAAGATGAACAAAGCAAAGTCACCAGTGAGTTGGCGAGGACATAAGTCCAACATAAACAGCAGCAACAACTTGACGTCTTGATAAGACAGACAAACGAGTTCACACCATTCACCCTGTATGAAACCCATCCAGCAAATTTATAAGTATGTGGAATTGTTTCTATGTCTGGTAACACAATCAACTTTCCCCACTCCTTGTTTATTTTATATGATTTTAAGTGTACAAAAAGTACTGTTTCCTAAGAATATAAGACCATAATGATAAACAGGTAATGTTGTTTGCTTAGTTTTAAAATTCTCTGCTGCCCACAATAAAAGATAATGAAAAAGAATATTATTGAAGGGATCATTTCGTAAGTTATATAAATGTCTAGCCACTATGCTGTACACCTGAAACTAATATAATATTGAATATCAACTGTAACTGAATAATCATAAAAATAAATAAAAATAAAAGTATATTTTTAAAAATCAACCCAATAGTTATCTCCTATAACAAAGAAGATAATAAAACTGTTGTTAATATGACATATTTATTTAGAGTTCAAGGATCCTCTTAGTCTCTCCCAAGTGTATACAAGACATTATGATATGACAGATTTTCAGTAGAGAAACCCCAAGAATCAGTTAGGCTTAAGTTCAAATTCTAGTTCCATCCGTTACTGACAATACGAGCAAAGATTAGAAACTTAACCGTGTGAACCTCAGTGTTCCCATCTTTGAAGTGGGGATGGTAATTCTTGCCTCATGGAATAGAGGAGAATTAAATGATATAATGTATTCAATGATATTGTTAGCATAATGCCAGGAATTTACTCATTATTATTATTATTATTGCATGCTAAATGGTATATTTATTTACAGATCCCAGTCTTTTAAAACAAAAGTATTAAAATCAAATAAGTAAATGCAAAATATCTTAAAGGTTATGAAAGAGAAGTATGGCTTGATTGTAGCCTTTAAGAATGTTTTACTTACCCATAAATACAAGAGATGTCAATAACCACATCGATCATATCACAGCACAGCTCATAGGTTTGCATATCTACTGGGGTACTATCAGTTGCAATATAAATTTTACTGACCACATCAAATAGAAATGCCTTTTCAATTCCAGAATTCTGAAACAAAGAGAAGTTGCTGACTTAAAGCAACAGCTAATTTCAGACCAGGTCATGGTGACATAAAATGATACGCCATCCTCTATGTAAAAAATGAATGAGCAAAAATTAAGTTACTACAACTTTAGGTTGTTACATGTTATTACAATTTAAACCTCATTGTCATATACTTCTTTATAATGGACTTGCATAAGAAATGAAAAGTGGAATTAATTATCACAAATTATTTACTGTAGGTCAACAGACTGAATGGTGGCCATGTAAAAACACTAATTTTACTAATTTTAAATTAAAAAATAAATTTAAGAAATCTAAACAAGCAAATTCCAAAATTGTGCAGTGAGAATTCAGTTGATTATAACCAACAGGTCTGCCTCAATTCTACTCTGCAAAGCTGGACGAGAGCTGGTAGTTTATAGGACTCATTCAGCCAGCACATCATTCAGTGTTAACAGCATATACCGTATCTCCAAACCAACTTTTATGCTCCCTACCTCTGGTAGAGCTCTATTAACATTGAACGATTGCCTACAATTTGAATACACACTCCAGTTATACCAGTGAAGTACAGGCATCCGTTTTTGGAGTTAAATTTTAAAGGACCTAAAAAAACCTGTAAGAGCGAACTCCAAAAGTAATACTTTGGCGACCTTGAAATGCTGTAAGAGTAAGCAGAAACAAGGTCGTTTTCACTCTTGCAATGTTATTTGTAAATTCTGCAAATGATGCTAACAGGATGATATTATTTATTTACTTACTGAGATAAAGATGTTTAGCAAATTCTCCAGGGTGGGGAGTTGTGGAATTAGTTTCTGAACCACTTTGCTAAAAGCTTCAAATATTGAATGATCATATATGCTTGTCAGATAAAAGCTGAAAGAGGAAACAATATTTTATCACGTTTTCCCCTTAACTGAGGAACAGATTGCTTAGGCTCTATCGTAACACCAGTACCCTGCCTTCTGTATCTACACTCCGTGCACACACATCGGAATTCAAAACAGCCTTGGTAAAAACTGAACTTGTCTTACCAGGCTGTCCCTCCCCACCACCCAAAAACCAACAACTGTGCCCATGCTCATTTGCTGACTGGCTGGGCTGGAAAGCTTAGAAATGCAGTGTAGTGCTCACTTCAGTGGCACATATATTAAAACTGGAATGATACAGAGAAGATCAGCATGCCCCTGAGCAAGGATGACATGCAAATTTGTGAAGTGTTCCATATTTTTTAAAAATGTATCACGTGTCCATACCAGGTTCCTTACATTCTGCAAGAGACTGCACAGATCACCTACACAAGCCTCATAGCCTATTAACAATTACATTATTCATATTGAAGCATCTAAGTTTTTCATTTTCCAATTTGTAAAATCAATGATACATGTTGCACCCCACAAAAAATGACAAGAGAAGTGGTTTTCCTCCGTATTTCTATTGAATTAACTTCAGAGTTAGATACTGTCATATGTATCAAGAACCGTAAACGTCACCAATTAACCTCCTGGATTATGCTCATGAGTTTTCTGTTATGTGTTTTTCAAATGGGAGAAGCACTTGAGCTTTGACCATTTGTTTAAAATAAAAATTTTTTTAAACCCCACTGCTTTCCCCAAAGATTAGAATTAGCACATGGAAAGCGTGCTTTACCCCAAATACCATTCCAATGTCTCCAGTACAGAATGGGGCAAACAGGTAAATTACTGCCCGTGCCAAACCACTTGTGGTGACTTTGGACCCCAAATCTGCTTCTTTCCATCCCTGAGGGGCTTCTGTTCTCACCTGAGGTGAATTTTTTCTAATCCAGCATCTGCGAGGTCGTCGTTTGCCCGCTGGTGAATATCTCTTTGGGTTTCAATTTTGTGGTCATCGGACAGACCATCCACTTTATGGATAAACACCTCGAAATTGATGTCAGTGTTCACTTTGTAGGCCCTGGTCACTGTGAGGTGCAGCCTGGCCAGGGCTTCCATGTAATCGTCCTGGGAACAAAGGCACAGTCCCGTCAGGCGAGGAGGCTTTGCTCTTTAAACTCTGCTACGCTGCCTTTCACATACACTCCCCCCCCCGTCCCGAGCTTTACTGAGGGATGCTTGACAAATAAACATTGCATATATTTAAAGTGTACAATGTGATGTTTTGATACATGTACATGTTGTGAAATGATCCCCCCAATCAAACTAACCAACCTTTCCAGCACCTTGCCTAACAGTTAACCATTTTTTTCCTTTCCACATTCATTCTTAACTTGGAAACCATCTGGGTACAGTCTCCAAAAATATTTTGCAAAAGCCCAATAAAAGCTGGTTTCATAGAATTCAAGATAGAAAACGTTAAGTTTTGTTAACAAAGAGATGAAAAAGAAAGGCCAGAAAAACACAGCTGTAGGCCGTTACGACTAGCTTGGTGACAGTCATAAATATAAGAGTTGCAATTTTGTGAATCAAAAATTCACAAAGGTCACGGAGGACCTCCCTTGGAATACAATTCCTCCCAGATTTTTGAGCCTTTTGGTAAACTGTGATGAACAGATAGAGATGAGAGCATGATATGGGTCACTGGGAGGACGGAGAAGAAGTCAGAAAGAAAAAACTCTAAGAACCACTGGTCTAGAGCAGCCAAATTGGCCGATGCCTGTTGTTTGTAAGTAAAGGTTTATTGGAACACAGCCACACTCATTTGTTTATATAGCGTCTACAGCTGCTTTCCTTTTTTAATCTTTACCCGAGGATATTTTTTCATTGCTTTCCAGAGAGAGAGAGAGAAAGAAACATCGATGTGAGAGAGACACATCAATTGGTTGCCTCTCACATGCGCTGACCAGGGCCAGGATCGAGCCTGCAGCCGAGGTACATGCCCTCAGCTGGAATCGAACCCAGGGCCCTTCAGTCCACGGGCCAGCTCTCTAACCACTGAGCAAAACCAGCTAGAGCTATGGCTGTTTTCTTGCTACAATGGCAACTGAATAGTTCTCCTCTGTGGAAACACCTCAGATATGGTACAACCTGCAAAGCCTAAAATATTTACCATCTGAATGAGAAAAAGATTGCTGACCCATGGTCTACAATAATTGCCCCAAATAACACAATACAACTTTTTGTCTCCTTCCTACAGGTGACACCTATATAATAATATAATGAACACCTGTATATGTATCTCTTTGCTTAAGAACTCAAACATTAGACACTGAAGCCCTGTGTGTTCTCCCCCTCCTCCCAGCCCACCCCATCACTCTACCCCCACCCTCCAGAGCTAGCACTAACCCAAGTTCAGTGTTTATTCTCACTCATCTCTTTATACATCACTGCATACATATCTATACCTAAACAACATACAGAATTCATTTACATTGTTCTAAAATTTACAAAAATATCAAGTTACATGTATGTTTTGCCTTTCACCCAACATTATTTCAGTGCCTAACTCTAGTGTATAGCTCCTTTTAACAGCTCTATAAAGTTTCATTGTATGGATGATCTTTAATTTATCATGGTTGATGAAGTAGTGTGTAGCTTCAATTACAAATGACATTAAAAAGAAGAAAATACTTGGTTTATTAGAGCAGAGGGATTGTGGATGGTTCTTCCTACCGTGTTTGTTATTATCTTCTATGACAAATAAAAATAAAGAAAAAATATATTGCCTAGTTTCAATCCAAAATTAGATCTAGGAATTATAGATGTGTGTGTCCCAAGACACAGGCGGAATGGCTTCGGGGGGCTGAGGGGGGGCCCTGGAGATGCAGTGCATCTGTGGGCTCTGCTGGGGGGTTGGGGGGATCACACATTTAGGTCATAGAAAAGGATTCTCAATTCTTTCATTCTCTTTTATTTTACAACACTCTGTGAGGACACATTTTCTCCCTGGTGATACATTTATCTAGCAATCCTCTGATTGTGAGGAATTCATAAGCAAAAAGTAAAAATATGAGGTGTCCAACCCACAGAGCACTGCTTAGAAATAAAGAAAATTATGTTCAAGTGCTGCCTAGATACTTCCCTAACGTGTGCTCTTCTTTTTAGTGCTTGTAGTCACATCCTGCAAACATTCCCACATATAAGATTTTCACAGCCTGCTTCCAATAGAAAAGTATATTAGACAGACTCTGAACCTGCTTATTTAATTACTGTATATATTTTTACTAAATGACAGTTCTCAACAATGTTTTTCCTACCCTTTTTTAAACAGATAACTTAAAAGGATGAATTTTGCAAGCATTCATATATTTTTCTCTACCTTACAGCTAAAAAATAAATCAACAAAAAAACAAGAAACAAAATAAAACAAAAATCACATTTAACAACCAAAATTGAAGGTCCACTTTTATGTTCAGGTAGAATTAAAACCAAATTATGGTTTCAATTTAAAAATAGCTAAGTGTACCCATTTTGGCCTCATTATAGCCATTGCACAAACACCTGAGATGGATTTGCTTTGGAAATTTGAAATCCATAAATGCAAGTTGCTAGGTAAGCACACCATGGTACTGAAGTAAGTATTTACTTACTAAGCCACTGTCTTGAAATGATGAGTCATCTGGTTGGAATGTACTCATTCAGGGGCTGCCACTACCTAGTTCACTAACTACGGAAACAGTAGCCATGTGACAGGAGAAAATGGAGCTTAGAAGAGACAGATGCGAATGGCATCCCTGGAGCCTCATCTCCCATGCAGCAGCGTGGACACACTCTGGCTGCTCTTCTCCAGCTCCAGAGTCCCTAATTTATGGTGCTGGCAGACCTGAGGCAGGAAGGCAAGGGATACTGCCAAAGCCACAGATGGGCCAGAAAACAGGTCAGTACAAGTGGGACAGCCAGGAAAGCGGCGACTGACAGCAGGCCCTGGACCTGACGCAGGTGTCTATAAGCATGCACTTCTGGTGGGTCCAAGAGAGGAGAGGCACTGCTGCTCTTAGATCAGGCACTGAAATTCGAAGTCTCCCCCTCTATACCCCTCCACAAAAGGAAGAACTTTTCTAACCACATGGCCAAGCTCCCACAGCTACACTACAAGGTGCAGTCGCCGGAAACTAAAAGGCTTTAGTTGAAATTTTCATTATTCTATGAAACACCTAGTTCCGTGAATGCTCTCTAGCATGAGCAGTCTTCTCAGAGAACGGTTTTCCCAGTGGGGACTCAGACCCATTGTGACTAACACTTCACATCCCTTCCCCGCTAACTATACTGGTGCTTCTGCAAGGGCAGGGAGTGCTCGGCCCACGTGTCTCACTGCAGGGCCACAGTTTCAGAAAAATGTCTAGACCGGAATTTAGAGTTGGTTTAGTGCATTCGGCAGGACTTACTGCCTTTTATTCCCCCACAGCTGCAAAAGAGAGCCCTTGGGAGGGACTTCAGGCTGGGCCAGGCATCATGGACACTTTCTAAGACACTTGGACAGGGAAACTTTGAAGGGTTTCAAGGTCCCAACCCTGCTGCCTGTATTTTCTTATACTGACCTGCCTCAGATGCAACAGTGGTCCCGCCGCTTCCCTTCCCCACCTCCTCTTAACACTGGCCCTGCTCCCACTTAACAGGAGAAGGGCTCAGGGTATAAAATCCCAGAGTGCCAAGGAGACAATTCAGAAGACTAGTTTGAATAGCTGATAAAGCGAATGACTCTACGCCTGGGTACTAAGTCAAAGGGCTCCCAATTCTTTGCTCTCAGCGAAGTTGAGGAAGACCAAATCCGCATGTCTGTTTGTAAACTACTAAAAATAATTTTTTTGTGATGGAAAACTTGGCAATTTAGGGGATATAACTTAGAAGGAGCGTAAATAATTGAGTGGATGCTGTCCCAAAACTCACCCTATATCTGCCTACTTATTGATGTGAATGAGGTTTCTCAGTGCTTACATCTATACATATATAAAACAAAAGTAGAATTGACGCCAAATCCTGTCCTATTCGTGCCTGGATAAGAATCTGCTGAGAGCATCAGCGGGGGGACATGTATTTGCTGTCTTTGGCCTGTATTAGTGCATTAGTCCCCTCCATCTGTGAAAGTTCCCAGATTTGTGATTTCTGAGACGTACACAGCTCCCTGCTCTCATCACTGGTTGGTCAGGGTTGCATGAAGGGAGACTTCCTTGCAAACCCTGAGAGCCCCAACTGAGAAATGTTTGTTTGGTGGAGAAGTGTATTTATTCTAAAAACCAAACCCCAAACGGAGACCATCACAAAGGAAATTGTTTGAACCCAGGGGAACGACTACCTTTGTCGGGGAGAGGGGCCTGCTGTCGCACTGTACCCAAGACTGGGCTTTACCTGGGAGTCTATGACAAATATCAGCGCTCCTGTTCCCCGGAAGATCATCTCATAGTCAAATGTAGGGTCAAAAAAGTCAATCTGTCCTGGGAAGTCCCAAATCTGAAAATTCACAAAGGAGCTGTTGGAAACATCTTCCCGGCAGATCTTGTTCGTGCTCTCCAAGAACAGTGTCTCGCTGGGAGACATTTTGTGAAAGACAACCTTCTGGATGGACGACTTGCCGCTTCTCCTCAGGCCCATGAGCAGGATCCTCGGCTTCGCCTCGGTGCTGAAGGGGTCACTGAAGGCCAGGGCTGTAGAAAACCACAGAACAAAAACAAGGGGGAGATGCTTTCACAGCGGTTAACTCAAGGAGTTTCACTTCCACCTCAGATGTGATTTATTTATTTTCAAATTTTTTTTTACCATCTAAGCCATTTCTTTTTTTTAAATTTTATTATTATTTTATTATTACTATTATTTTATTTTTGTTTCAAATATTACAGATGTCCCTTTTTCTCCCCAATGACCCATTCCACCCCGTCCCATCCCCCTCCCCAGTCCCTCTCCACATCATTGTCCGTGTCCTTGGGTTGAGCACATACGCGTAAAAATTCTTTGGTTACTCTCCCTCCCTCCACCCATCCGCCCTCCTCCGTCCCTCTGACATTCGTCAGTCTGATCCATGCTTCCATGTCATTGAATCTATTCTGTTCATCAGTTTATTAAGTTCTTTAGATTCCGCATATAAGCGAGATCATGTGATGTTTGTCTTTCTCTGCCTGGCTTATTTCGTTTAGCATAATATTCTCCAGGTCTCAGATGTGACTTATGATTCACAGACAAGTTGACTTTTCCAAATATGGAGAGTGCTAGCTACATCACCCCGCTCACTGAGGGACCAGCCTTTAGTGAGCACAAAACACCGAAAAAATACTGTTTCACTACCTCTCATACCATCCCAGGGGGGCAGAGGACCTGTACAATTCCACATCACAAGCCGGGAATCTAGAGGGTGAAGAGAAGACGTTTCCTGGAGCTGACAGTCCAGGAAAAGAACCCGGGGTGAGCGTTCCAGAACAATGTCCTTTGCCTGGATCATCAGGGTCTCTATGCACTGAAGAGATGCTTGTTCATTTACCCTCCCTCAGTTCCCCTCTTCTGGCCAGTGCTCTCATATGCCAGAAAATGCTGGAAAATGGGCATGTTCTAGATGCCTCAGATTCAGACTGTGTTAGAAAGTGGATGTCAACTTTGTGAGAGGCACAGCTCGCCCAAGCCCACCTGGCTCTAAGCCTGAACTGACCATTTAAGTTAAAATTCACTAAAATCAATAATCCAGAACCACTATGCCATACAGCTCAAATTAATACAAAGTAATGTTGAATTATAAACTGTAATTGAAAATATAAAAATTTTAACATCCCCTCCCCCCCAAAATCCAGCTCCTCCTTATATGAAGTTCCTAGAGTAGTCAGGTTCATAGACACAGAAAGTTGAATTGTAGTTTCCAGAGGCCAGTGGGATGAAGAGTTAGTGTTTAATGGGTAGAGTGTCAGTTGGGGAAAATGAAAAAGTTCTGGAGACGGATGGTGGTGATGGTTTTACATTATGTGTGCACTTGACATCACTAAACTGTATACTTAAGAATGGTTAGCCCTAGCCCAGCTGGGCGTGGCTCAGCGGTTGAGCATCAACTTAAGATCCAGGATATCGTAGTTCGATTCCCGGTCAGGGCACATGCCCGGGTTGCGGGCTCGATCCCCAGTCGGGGGCATGCAGGAGGCCGCTGATCAGTGACTCTCTCATCATTGATGTTTCTCTCTCTCTACCTCTCCCTTTCTTTCTCTGAAATCAATAAAGATATATTTTTTAAAAAAAGAAAAAAAAAAAGGTTAGCCCGGCAGAGTGGCTTGGTTAGGCATCGTCCTGTGCACTGAAGGGTTTTCAGTTCGATTCCGGTCAGGGCACACACCTGAGTTGCAGATTCAACCCCCGGTCAGGGCGCACGAGGAAGGCAACTGATCAATGTTTCTCTCTCATGTCGATGTTTCTCTCTTTCTCTCTCCCTTCCTCTCTCTAAGCATGTCCTTGGGTGAGGATTTTAAAAAAAACACAACAGGTTAAAATGGTAAATTTTATGTTATGTATGTTCTACCACAATAAAAAATTCAGTTCCACACTTGCACAAGTCATGCTTCAGGTATTCAACAGCCACACAGGGCTAGAGTGCAGACATAGAACATTGTCATCATCACAGAAAGTTATACAGATCAGCATTACTCTAGTCCCTGGTAACAAAAATTCAATCCTAAAATAATTTGCTAAGGGTCTTAGAGGAATTAGGCATCACTGGATAAAAGTAGGAATTGGTATAAAAGCTCAAAACCCTGTTGGGATCTCTCTTTCCTTTGTTCTTAAAACATATGTTAGTTCCACAATGTTCTTCAGTCCTAAACGACCACTCAATTTCTGAGAAGCATTCCTATTTGACCAAAAGTGTGTACATTTCACAGAAGCAAAGGACGTATTACCTAGTGGTTAAATGCTAGGGCCTGAAGTCAAGACCTGGTGTTTGAGCTATGAGACCTTGAACAAGATTCTTAGCTTTTCAGAGTCCATTTCAAAATCCATAAAATGGAGTTGACATTGACAATAAAAATCTCATAGGGCTGTTATGATAATTAAATGATTATAATAACAGGTCCTAAAATGATTATTAAAAATAAGACCCATTTGGCAAATGGTGCTGGGACAAACTAGATATCCAAAAACAAAAGAATAAAGTTGGGCACTTATCCTACACCATATACAAAAATTAACTCAGAATGAATGAAACATCTAAATTTATGAGGTAAGATTACAAAACTCTTAAAAGGAAACATAGGTATAAACCGTGATGACCTTAGATTAGGCAGTATTTTCTTAGTTAGGACACCAAAAGCACAAGTAACCACAGAAAAAGTAAACTGGACCTCATCAAAATGAAAAACTGGTTCTTCAAAGGACACTATCCAGAAAGTGAAGACAACCCACAGAACAGGAGAAAACATTTGCAAATCATATATGTGATGAGGGTCTAGTATCCAGAGTATAAGAAGAATTCTTACAATTCAAGAATAAAAAGACAACCCAATAAAATATAAAAAATCTAAATAGGCATTTCTCCAAAGATAGACACATGGCCAATAAGCACATGAAAAGATGTTTTACATCATTAGCTATCAGAAAAATACTAATCAAAAGCACTATGGAATGCCACTTTATATCCACGAGGATGGATACAATCCAAAAGACAGATAATGACAAGTGTTGGTGAGGATGTGGATAATCTGGAACCCTCATACACTGCTGGTGAGAATGTAAAATGGTGTGCTTTGAAAAAAAAAAAAAAAAGTTTGGCAGTTCCTCAAAAGGTTAAACATTGAGTCACCATATGACCCAGAAATCCAAAGGAATATCTTCAAAGTTATGAAAACATACATCCAAGTAAAAACCTGCACATTAGTGTTCACAGTGGTATTATTCATAATAGCCAAAAAGTGGAAACAACCCAGTGGCCATGAACTGATGATTGGATTAACAAATATATATCCATACAATGGAATATTCAACCATAAAAAGGAACAAAGTACTGATTTATGCCATAACATAAATAAACACTGAAAGTAAAAGGAACCAGATACGAAAGGTCACATATTATTTGACTCTATTTATAGGAAACGTCCAGAACAGACAAATTCCGAGACAAAAGATACTTTGTGGTTGCCAGGGGCTACAGGGAAGGGAAAATGGGAAGTGACTGTTAATGGGCATGTGGTTTCTTTGGAGTAATAAAAATGTTCTAGAATTAAATAGGAATCATGATTACATACCTTTGTGAATATAGTAAAACCACTTATTTGTATACTTTAAAAGGGCAAATATTATATGTAAAATATATCTCAATTAAGAAAAGGCTTCATGAATGACCGAATAAAATAATAAAAATAAAATAATAAATAAAAGTGAAACTTGGAGAAAGGAAACCAATATTTTAAGAAAAAGGCAGAATATAGGCAAATATGGAGATATAAATACATTAAATTATTTTTCTAAATTTTTGTTTGGTTTCCTTCTGAACTACACTTCTTACGTCTTTCTCAGTCCCTTATTTGAGTCTAAGACTACTCAAATAGAGGCTGAAAAGTAATCCTTTATTTCCCTATTTTAACTAACAACTTTTTCCAAAACACACTAATACTTGAAAAATCTTACTTAATTTCATTTACTACATATAATATTTTGATGTTTGAATTTGCAAATACACAAATTTTGAGTAAAACAATAATGAATAAAGTAAGCAGGTACAGATGTACACAAAAACTACTCTGTTATAAGCAGCATCTCAGCCTATCACACACTTTTCCAGTTCAGCTTAACCCATTCTAACAAATTGCTGATGATATACCATAGAAGCAGTGATGGGGATGTAAAATGCCCAAAAGGTAACCAACTTTCTTCATCAGTGATTATATGCTATCCATTCGCAATACTGTCATTACAAGTCAATCTTAGCAAAAGCAGGGCATGAATTACAAAAGAGAACAGGATTTCCAGCCTTTTGGCTCAGTAGTTAAGAGCGCTGGCCCATGGACTGAAGAGTCTTGGGTTCGATTCTGGTCAAGGGCAAGTACCTTCACTGCGGGCTTGATCCCCACCTCGGTCAGGGAGAGTGCATGAGGCAACCAATTGATGTGTCTCTCTCACATCGATGTTTCTCTCTCTCTCTCTCTCTCTTCCACTCTCTCTGAAAAGCAATGGGCAAGGATTAAAAAACAACAAAAAACAAAACACAGGATTTCCAGTTTCAAAAGTACCAGACTGATAACATGTCACAGTCTTCACCTCCCCATACAAAATCCCTAAAAATAATAGAGAAGGTATAAACAATTAATAGATGAACAAATAAACATGGATATTTTCAAGCTCAGCTGAGCTTGGAAAAAAAAGAAAACTAGAAACTGACAAATCATTAAAAAATTCCCTAGGAAACACAAAGACCAGATTTGAAGAGGGAACTTGCAGCCAATGGAAGGGTTCTGCTGCAGAAGGTAGAACTGGTGGAAGTCAAAACAGGAAGGGCAGGAAGACAACCAACAGAGTCATTATTTGGAGAATCTAAGTGAGAAAAGCAACGAGATCAACTCTGTGCACCACTGTCCATCTGCCAAGCACCATCCTACACATACTCTAGAATATCTTCCAGATGGGAGCAGTGACCATAGGAAGCTTGGGTGTGAGAGTGAAGGCAGTGCCCCAGGAGCTAGT